AGGGGGTGCTGGCTGTGCTTTGTTTCTACAGCCAGAGCATCGGGGTTCTCAACCTGGGCATCTCCCAGCCTGCCTGCCCTGCTGCTGCATGGATTTGGCTTTCCACCTGCGGAAAGTGGGAGGAGACAGCTCTGGGTGTCAGAACAGAGGTTAAAAGTTGGCTGGAAGGTTTGTAGGGGCTGGAGAGGAAAAGGAACACACTGTAAAGTCACCTGTAAATTAATATGGGAAGCCCTAATGGGCTTTAATTCCTTTAATTTCCAGGTCCACTGTTCCATACCTCTTCTCATTCCCCTCCCAGCCTGGAAGACTGGTGAGCAGGGGATCTTCTGAGCACAGGTTAATGCACTGCAGTGCTGGGGGCAGCATCCTTGACAGGATGAGCCCCCTTTATCTCCCAGATTTTTGACAGCACTGCAGCCCTACAGGAAACCAAGGGGAAAACAAAGAAATGTTGATAGGCTTCTCTGGACTTGGACTGTTAATTCAAATCTGGCTGAAGGCCATTAGTGTTTTCACACTATTACCTTCTAATGGCTTCTTGCTCTTGGCTCAGCTCTTCCTTGGCAAGTCACAGCTGTGAGCTTTGCTAGCTCTAGGCTCCCAGTTAGCCTCTTGCTGGGAATCTCACTCAAGATTACAACTTGTGTCCATGTTAGGAAAATAGCCTGTGTGTAGCAGCTGCCGTCAGACCCTGCTCCTCCCAGCACTCCCTCAACAGGTGTGAGGAGCTGTTTTCCTGCCTCCACGGGTGGATCAGCTGCTCCAACAGAAGGTGCCTGTGTAATCCATCCCCCCTCGCTGTGCTGCTGCTGAACCCAAGGCAGGTTTTGCTGAGGGAGCTGCAGCTTTTATCTCAGCCTCTGGAGACTCTCGGTGCAATCCATTGGAGCTCCATGCAGAGCTGCAGTTCTGCCTCTGGATTTTATCCCTGAGCCTGTGCTCTCCCCACAGGAGCTGCTGAGGAAGCTGTCATGGCACAGATGTGTGAGATACCTGCTGCAAAGTGTGACTCCTTCCCATGGTGCAGGAGTAGAACACTTCACACTCTTCAGTCTGTGATTTTTCCATCCTCATCCATCAAGACTAGATTTTTTTTTTTTTTTTTTCCAGTGTTTATACTCAGGAAAACAGAAGGTAAAGCCCATAGTTTCTTACACCAGAGGTCAAACCAGGTCATTCCCTTGGCCTTAGAATCTATATTTCCATGAGAAGAACACATCAAAAGCTGTGTAGGGCAGTATGACCTTACCATTTCCAGGGCCAGATCCTTGAGAATCAATAATCTCCAGTGTTTACAGAGCTTTTCCTCTGGGATTCAGGAAGAGCTGTTGGACATGTGGATGAAGAATCAGCCCTACTGTCTCTTTTCTCTGCTTATTCTGAGGATGACACAGGAGACTTCAACGTGCAGGTCCAGCTGACGGGTGTGAAATTAATTTAGAATTCATAAAGTAAATCGGGGAAAGAAAAAAAAAAGCCTCTAAGAGTTCCATGGAAAATCAATTACCCAGCACATGAAGGTGATGATGAGAACACTGCTCCACAAAATAAGCAAAATTCCCTGCAATTCTAATCTCTTCTTCCTGCAATTTCCCTCCCATCCCTTGTGATGCTTTAAGAGATGGATGGCTTTCTTTCTCCAGTTTTAGATATGCTTATTGGGGCTGGAGGGTGGAGAGACCAAGAGAGAAAAGACTGTTCCAAAAAATGTAATTAAGGTAATATTACGATGTGAATTACATATTACATTTTGTTTAGAGCTATTATTGGCTGGAATGGCTCTGAAATTGAATTGTGCTGCAGATTCCTCGCTGATTTTACCCACACTCGCTCACAGGCAGGGATTGCATTAGACCTGGGGAAGAGGAAGGTGTGGATGGAGGAGGGGATCCAGTTGGAAAGCAGGTCTCTGAAAGGAATTTCTTCCCATGCAGAATCTTTCACCAGACACACAAAGAACCACACTAAAAATGACTCTACACCCATCAAGCCAAACTGAGTCGACGTGTTCACTGTGAACTGGTAATTGGGGACAGTCAGGATGTCTCACTGTCCTTCCTCAGATCTTCTCTGCCAAAGTGGTCGCCTGTGGTGGAGGGGCTCACGGGGCATTTGCTCACCACAGACAGTCTGAGGAAGGCAGAAGTGCTGTACAGCCACTAAAAGCTCTGACTTCCCCCTGCTTTCCCTCAGGGCTGCTCTGAGATGGGTTTAATCAAGCAAACAGCTCATCAGTCTCATCTCTGCTCACTCCCACACCCTGATGTCCTTCTGGAGCCAGGCATCGGCCAAAGGGTAACAGCATCCCCACCCAAGGGGTGTTAGTGAGCAGGGGAGTGTGAGAAATTCACTGCAGGACAGAAGATCCCAGGTTTGCTCTGGTGCTGCTGATTGTGGCCTCTCCAATGTCTGATAAAGCTCCTATCTCTTTCCTCCAGTTGGGCACCTATTTCTTATGCAACCTGTGGGAATGTGATAGCTTTGCATTAGCTCCTCTTAAATTAGTTGACACTGGCATTCAGGTTCAGAAATTATGAGGAAGGGAGGGTTGAGAGAGAGAGAAAAACACCCTGCCAGCACAGCCACAGTAATTCAGAAAATGAAAAAATTATGAGATGCTGCTGTGCAAGAAAGAGCCACAGCTGAGGGGTGGGGAAAGGCAGGTGAGAGGACACAGAGCTGTTGTGTGTTAACATTGGTGTCCTCGTTCTGCAATTCTTTGTTCCAGCATTCAGGGTTTTGTGTCTTTGTTCCCTTTTGCACTGAGGTATCACCCTCTCCCACACTGCCCTCTCAACTGCTCCGCTTTGGTGTCTCAGTTTTGAGAGGTGAGGATGCTGCTCGTGGGGGGAAGTTTGCTGGGTGATCTGATGTGCTGGTGTGGTTTTGGCAGCTGACAGATGTGTCCTGGGAGAGCTGTGCCAGGGAGAGGCTTTAGATGAGCTGCAAAGGCTGAGAGGGAAACTATTTCTTACCTGCTCCTTCCTTAAACCATCTCCCATCTGAATAAAGTGGGGGAATTAGAAGGGGATTATCCACCAGCAGGAGAGGTGTAATTCATTTCTGCCACTGTCCGTGTGTCAGGTTTGATTTTAATTTCAGATAATGTCAAAGCCAGATTAAAGCCCTATCTTCCAGGTAGGAAAAGAGAGCCATCCTTCCCCCTCACCTCCCTGAGCTGCCAGGACAGGGTCTGCCATCCCTCTCTCCCTTCAAACACTCTTGGGTCAGGGCATGCCATGAAGGTCCTGCATGGCAGGCTGGGATCCCTTCTCCATCTCCTCCCAGATCCTGTCCCTGCACACCAGAGCCCCCTGACCCTCCAGAAATGATGCTTGTGTGGTGTCAAGGTGCTTTATCTAAGGATAAGGAGAGGGATCTGGGAGGCAGAGATGTAATGTCAGCCATGGACACTGGGAAAATGAGATTCCAGGGCAGAAGATGTGAGAAAAGCAGAGAGAGCTGAGGAATGACAGGGTCAACCACTAGAGAACAAAGTGAAAACAGCATTTGTAGAGCTCCCCGTTGTGCCTGGCTGTTCCCCAGTGTCCTTCCAGAAGTGCCTGCAGAGCAAGAAAGGGTCATTGGCTTTGGAGGTTTATTCCTGACTCTGCCAGAGATACAGAAATTAGGAACACTTAGAATGGCATCATCAGATGAAAAAGACCCCTAAATTAGACACCTCTCTCTGTACTTGACAGCTAATGAGAAGCAGTGTGCACGGAGGGTGTTTTACCTTTCTGGGAAGTCATTCTTTGGAGGTTTAATGTTATTCCTCCCTCAGCCTCTCCCTTGTGCACGCTGGGGCAGAGTCAGCTCTGCTGAGCTCCAGAAGCCTGCTCCAACTCCTGCCCCTGCTACCTGTGGCTCTCCAGATGTGCAGGCTTGGGTGCCTCAGAAATGGAGCCTCTTGGCGGGGGTAAGGATGTTTTTAACTGTTTTGAGATCTTTTTCTGGAAGGAGTGGACGTGGCTGCTTATACCTTCTTCCCTGAGTGAACGCAGACACACAGTTCCTGCTTCTGCTTATGCAACATTTAAAGCCAAGTGCTTCTGACAAACAGGAGGGAAGACAGACTTTATTAAAAATAAAAATAAAATCTCCTGAGATGTGATCAGGCACTGATAACTCTTCCTGGGCTTTGCTAGTATTTTGTTCTGTTTCTCGGCTATCACAGGTGGCAGCAGTGAAGAAATTCTGCTCTGATATTGATATAACAATCCTGTGTGTGCAGGTGGAGGAGTGATTTTGATGTTTATCAAGACAATTAATGTGCTACTGCACTCTTTTTATTACAATTGTATTGAATCCAAGACAGAGTCAGTCCAAACAACTGACTGGGCCTTCCAATTGAAAAAAAATATATTAAAAATATTATTATTTTGAAATATGATTAAAGAACAGTGAATATAAAGGAATGGCCCTGATGCTTCATGTGCTTCTTCATCCTTTGTTTGCTCTCTCTATCCTTCCCCAGCTGAAATTCAGCAGCTGTTCCCATCTGTGCCACGTGTACCAGCACAGCCCCAGCCTGGAGCAGGACACTGGGGAAAAGCAATCACAACCTATTCACCTTGGTTTTACAAAATTCAGGTTTTAGAAAATGCAAATGATTTTTATTTTGCTGCATTCTACCATGTCTGCAGTGAGCTGTGACCCCAAAAGCATGTCCTTGGAAAGAGGCCACTTTGCTTTTCCAAAGTACCAATTTGCACTGTGCTTTCCATGTCACCTTTTGCAAACAACAACAATAATCCATGAAGCAACTCCCATGTCCCAGGCAGTATGGGGGGTCATAAAGCAAAGAGAGTGTTGTGAATAAGGTCAAATTTGGTCCATCTGGCCCAGCTAGTATGGGATTTGCATGCCTCACTGCAGGATCCCAAAGAAACCTGAATCCATCTCAATTCTTTTCTCATAATGCATCATGTTTTGTCCACTAGCACCAGCAAAACCATGTGTGTTTGCCTAACTGTGCCTTGCCTGGCTCTTGCATGACCCAGAGGAATGGGAGAAGGGAACACCATGGATGGAGGATGTGGCTTGGTGGATTGTTCCTGAAGAAGGTAAATTCTATGTCTCAGAGCTCTGCATAAATCCAAGATTTGAAGGATTACCAGGTGCTGGGGAGACCTAAGGGCTAGATTTGGAAACAGCTCGTGGGGGCTGTTTAGATGCTTCTCAGTGCTAGTGAGAAGCTGGGTGTGCTTCAGGCTGGCACTTCCTACCTTTTCATTGGGGTGAGGGCTCCAGGATCACCCTAAATCTCTGCAAGGCCTTTGGTATCCTGCTGAGAGTGCAGGCAGTAAATTAATTGACTCCACCACACACCCAGTGCCACTGGACTCTGTTTTGGGGCACATCCCTCCCCGTTGGGGCTGTGAGCTGGCACTGCTGGGTGAGATGCCCGGCTGGTGAAATGTCTGGGATGCACAGCCTGGCCAGTGAGAAGAGCCTGATGCTAACTGAGTTAGCCCAGGGATGAGCAAACACCTGTCATGAGCCAACAGATCTGATTTTTGTTTGAAAAAATCCCTGGTGTGCCATAAATCTGTCAGCTCTCAGGGAGACAAAACAAAACTCAATAATCCTCCTGGTCCGATTTAAACCCGGGCTTGTCTCTCAAACAAAACCTGTGGGAATCCAGGGCTTCCCTCTGGCTGCCCTGGCAGGTCTGGGACCCTGGCAGGGGTCAGGAACCCCCTGGACAGAGCCCCCAGAGACACTGGCTGTGATCTCTGGCCATGGAAAAGAGTTTTCAATCTTACAGGATCAATTACCTGCTCTGAGTGTTTGATATAAGTAATAATTAAGTGTGGCATGGGTGCAAAAGTAAAATTTTAGGATTCTAGATGACGGGTCCAAAGGGGACAAGATGGAGGAAATTGGGTGTGTCTTGTCCTTTTTCTCCTTCTTCATGCCCTCCATGTCTCACTGCGGTGTTGGCATTTTTCTGTTGGTTCAGGCTGGGGACACACTGTCCAACGTAGGTGACAGATATTGGCACGTTCTTGTAAATGCAGCCCAGGGAGTTTCTGGTATTTAATGTTTGTCACATCCCACTGAGGGCAGAGCCCCACACGCTGCCCTGCAGGACAGAGCTGGGCAGGGCAGCAGAACATGTGAGAGATAAACAGAATAAACAACCTGGAAACCAGCACAGACCAATTATGGCTTCTGCTTTGGCAGCGGGGCTGACAGACAGAGACTTTCTACAATCTCAGAATCATCAATACCTCAGATTCCAACAAAAACCCTCCTGTCTCACGGCCACGGGGGATGGGGGAAACTGAGGCACAGCCAATCGCCAGCCTCCACCCCTGCCCTCCTGTGTCATTACCTTGCAGGGCTGCGAGAGCAGAGGCACACAGAGGAGCACTGGGAAATGTTCCTATTGATCGGAAATGAATAATTATCACCCGCTCCCCGTTCCAGGGGCTCACAGTGAGCGGAAGAGCGGAAGCACTAAGCAGGATTAATAACTACTTTTCATTACTTTTAATGCAAACTATTGATTTTAAAGTGTTGTAGGGTATGACAGTTTATTACAATAAGACAATAAAACAGACTATATGAAATAATTGAGAATAATCTCTTCCCTTTTCTTGCACGACACAAGGACATTATGTTCTGTGCATGTGGAGACATTTATGGCAAACTCTATCCAGCAATGGCAGCTTAAGCACTCTATAAAACAGCACTTTGGAGCTGGAGTATTATAAATAATAGGCAATAAAACTGGTAAATGGGGCTTTAATTTGATTCCATTATGTCACGGAATGACAGGAAGGAGGGGGCAGAGCAGGGAGGGGAGGTGATGCCGAGCTCTGTTTGGGAGCCCTGGGTGCTCCGTGGTGGAACAGACCACAGCGCTGCAAGAGGGTCGGGTCGTGCCAAACCCCAGCCCAGCCGTGGGCTCGATCCTGCCAGGTGACATCCAGAGAGCCCCTGCAGGGCTCCTCGCTGCAGCCAGCGCTGGGGTGGCAGCAGGGACACTGCTGTCACAGGGCTGAAGGCTCCAGGAGCACAGTCAGGTCTCCACTGAGCCAGGTACCAAATATTTGGGGTACTACCCCAAAACCCGCACGCTGCTGCCAGGTCTCTGACTGCAGGTGCTCCCTTTTTCTGTGCCTCCTGCCCCTAACTGGCCAGCGCTGCCCTTCCCAGCCCCAGCTCTGGTGAGCACAGTGACCCTGGGGAGGTTCCTGCACAGCTTTTACTGTTCTCAGCACAAACCCTCCTCAGGAAGAGCTGCTGCTTGCCAAGGACTGGGGTACACCTGACCATCAGCCTCAAATCAAGTATGCCCCACAGCATGCTCAGTCGAAATGACCACCAGGAATAGATGGATTTTATTCCTCATCACTCCAGAAAATCCTGTGCTAGGGGGGTCTCTGCAAAGCCCCTGGAGAAACCAGCGTGCAGCATCACTGCTTCCCAGCAGGAATGCCCCTGGCACAGAGGGTGGCACTCAGGATGGGCTGGGGGTGCAGGAGACCCTAACAAACCACACAGCCTGTGGCTCAGGGCTCCTGGCTCCCCCCGGAGTGCTCAGGCTGGGCCATTACCCACTGATGGCTTTGCAGGGCCAGCGACTTGTGAAACGAGCTGGGAGTCCCAGCCCAGTGCTTCCCACTGCAAAGCTGTTCCTGCTAATTGGGCACCTCCTCATCAAGACTGGGGAGGGAATGTGCACCAGAGATCGAGGGCCAAAGGTGGAGAAGGGCCTGAGGAAGGTCTGGACACATTTAAATGTCCTGTTGCATGGTTTCCTCCAGCCCATCAGGTCATGTGTGGAGCTCTTGTGCTGCCCATGTACCCCCTGCTCATCCTCACACTGCCGAAAAACACCTCACAAAAAGGACTCAAAGGCTCTGGTACAGAAAAGCTGGGCAGGGGCTGACCTTGATGCACAGTTGGGTCTTTTCCACTCCCACAGGTCCTTATGGACCCAGAATGATCTGAAAGGTGAGAGAGGAGGCAGCTCATCATATCCCTGTGCCTGGAGTGTGAAATGAGACTGGCCAAGACCCACGTGGACCTTCCATGGCCCAGTGGGTTCTAAATTGCTGTGCACTGGCCCAGTTAATGTGGAATTGGAAAGGACTGGAGAGCAGTGAGCAGCCAGGACCTGGAGACCACAGGTGGGATGGTCACATCTAGCCCGAGGTCACTCCTACAGATGTAGCACTGGGGGCTGCCACTGACAGAACCCAACCCTGGTTCAGGGGCTCCATGTGCTGGAAAAGTCTCTCCTCCACCCCGAGCTTCCAAAGAAAGGCTCAGCAGTCTCTGTTGTTGGGTCTCAAGGCAGTTTATTGCAAGTTATCTAAAAGATTTTCTTCTGGGGCTGCTGTGGTCTGCTCCCAGCTCAGGCAGAGGCACACACACACCCTGACATCCTCTCTGACCCCGACTGCTTCTTCTCTCCCCGCCCAGGGCTGCTGCTGTCTTTGATATGGGACATTACGTGTTACATGGTTACAGTTTTTCCCAATGCCTATTACCTATATTAAATGGGGATTTTCTATCTTTTATATGGTACATTACGTGTTACATGTTTGCAGTTTTTCCCCAATGCCTATTACCTATATTAAATGGTGTTTTTCTATCTTTTATATGGTACATTACGTGTTACATGGTTACAGTTTTTCCCCAATGCCTATTACCTATATTAAATGGTGCTTTTCTACTCTAAACCCATCTGTGAGTGCCAACATCACCAAGAACATGGAGGTGAGGAAGGAGAAAGAGGAGGAACAGGACCAGCCTACATTCCTCCATCTTAAACCCTCTGACTCCCATGTACAAAAACAAAACCCCCCTGTACAATACTAAAAAATTCTTCCCTCTACTTTGTAACTACTTCTACTATAATATCTAAACTTTTGTGACTTCTTGTTCTTCCTGCAAGGTTGGTAAATCGTTCCATGGATCAAACCCAAAATCACAGCTGTTTCCAGCTGCCTGCCAGGGTCTCAAATGCTTCTGACCAGGGCCTGGAACCTCCAAAAATGTCTGAGGGACATTTTGAGTTCCAACATGCCACCTGCATTTGGAGCCCTGCAGAGCCTCCAGCAGGACAGTGCTCCCCTGGAGCAGTGCTGTACCAGCTCCCCTCCTTCCCACCCGTCCTGTCCCCCACCCAGATGTGCCTGCAGTGGCCCCAGCTCCCCAGGCACATCATTACTGCTCTGAGGTTTTTTGTACATCAAGGCAGTGGTATTTCTGCACTTTGTTTTCAGTTCCAAAACCCCAGCCCTTCCCAGATTCTTCTGCAGAGAATCGTGGTGTCCCTTGGGCTTTTCCAGCCTCTTCTCTAAGCATATCATCAGGTCTGTTTTAAGAGAGAGGATTACCCACACAGCAGAGCAGAGAAGCCCTATTGAAGGTATTTGGAGCTGCTCTATACCCAAAATAAGCAGCACAAGGGGAAGCACTGAACTAACTTTGCTGCGGAGGCAAGAAGAAGGTTTGGGCTCTGGATTTTAATGGGCTTTTCTTTTGCTGCCTGAATTCTGATTGCATCATGATATGCATGTCCCATCCTATGGCACTGAATGCTGATGATATTATAGAATTATGGAATATTGCCTGGTCGCACACTGGGTTACAAATCAGATTTTTGTGGACTACTGGATCATTAAGGCTGGAAGAGATTATTAAAATGATCAAGTCCAACTGTAGACAAGCCCACCCAGGACTGGCAGCTTGGCACGGAGGAGACAGACCACAAAGAGGGCAGGGAGAAAAAGCTCTGGGAGAGAAGGAATGCTGGCTGGCACTCTGCAGTGTGTGAGGGAAGGTTGGAGATGGGAAAGAGACCTGCCAGGACAGGAGAGCACAGCTCATTCCTGACACAGGTCCAGGAAAATGACATCCAGGATTAATTGGGGTCTGCAGGAAAGGGGAGAAGATGGGAGAAGGGGTGGAGGGGAGCAAGCTGGCTTTGAGGAGAGGTGGAAGCAGGGTAGGAGCACAGGATCATGATGTTCTGTGTGGGGTGATTGTTGCTTCCACTGGGAGCCCTCCTGGGTGGCTGCAGGAGGCTCTGGTGAGAATGGGCAGCTGGTGCTGCTCCTGCTGGCTGTGAGCTTGCCATGGCAACCACCAGCATCCCATGAAGAAGAGGAGGAAGAGCAGACCAGCCTGTCCCACCATGGGGTTTGAGCAGGGAGAGGTTTGTCCCAGGAGAGAAAAGAGCAGCATGAACCCCATGGCACAGTGGGTGTGTGGTGCCCACTGCCCCCTGACCATGGAGGAGACCTGGTCCAGCTCTCCTCCTTGACCAACCACCCAACTTAGCTTCCATTATACCTGAGCATCTTAATATGACTCCAAACCACACACTTCCCTGCTCCAGAGGGGCACCCATGGAAAAATTACCATTTGGAGACATCCTTGTGCTGGGAAAGCTGATAAGGAAGAAACACTCTGGGTTACTTTCATTCCATTTCACTTTCATTCTTCTGGTCCCCAAGAAAGGGCTACAGAGGGGATACAGATTTCTTCACTCCCTTTTGTCTGAGTAGTAAATCTGCCAGCTTAAGTGTTTCAGGAAATAAAGGGTGATACGCTCTGAATGCACAAACTCCTGCACACATGCACACACAGATGCAACTGCTTTCAGTGCCTGGGGAAATTGGTTTCATTTCCTAATGGAATATCTGTACTTAGGCCCAGAAATGGCTTTCCACATTTTTTCTAATGCAGCCCTGTCATACACCTGCAGGAATTAAGCAGTTGGCTGTAATGACATGGCTAATGAGAGGAATTGATTAATGAGATGGGGTCAGGTAGCCGCTGTGTGGGGCAAGAGAGGCTGAGCATGACCCCACCGTAGGACAAAGCCCCGGGGAGGGACCCGGGTGGACAAGAGGAGCAATGGAAAAAGGAAGGTGAGACAAGGAGAGAGAGGACTTTGCCAGGAGGCTCAGCCAGACTCTCCATCTGAGAAATCAAGCTGTGAAAGCAGTGAGAAGCAGGTGTGAATGGTTTTCTGCCTGCCTCAGGATGGGGTTGGGATGGAAAGCTGGGGTGATGCAGAGGAAGAGATGTTCCTGCATTTAATGTCTCTCTCTGCGCTGGCTCCAGGCCACCCTGGCTGAACACTCACAGTTTGTGCTGAAGTGTTGGAGAACTGAAAGGGCCCGAGGCTGTGCTGGCTGGTCCCTGGCATCTTGCATTTCAAATGCCTTGAAAATGTGGATTTGATGCTTCCCCTTTTATTTATTATATTTAAAGCAGTTTTGCCAGGGGCATAGCTCTAGAGAACAGGCAACTTCCTTTCCTGAGGATCCCAGGAGCTGGGCTGTGGGAGCTGCACACATGGCAAGGCAGGACCCCACCAGCATCCAGCTGTGCCAACATCTGGGAGCAGAGAGGGGCTGGGAATGGCTGGGCTGGCAGGAAGAGTGTGCTGGCCTGGCTGAGGAGCAGGAGCAAGCAGGGAGTGTGATGCACTTGCTGTGCTCCCCTCCTGCCAGCCGGGCAGTTTTTATCAACACCAGGCAGCTGTAAATGTTCTCTCAGCGGCAGGGACCTGGGAGCTGAGAGTGCAGCTCAGCTGAGTGTGTTATTGG